TGGACTGTTTCCTCAGTCAGGGAGAACAGATGGACACAATGATGTTCAGAGTTGATTCCAGATAAAAAGAAGATAATTCAATTCCCACTGTGTGCAGTTAGGAAACAGGGAGGGAAAAAGGATAAGTGCCCTCACTGACCACTGATAGGTGTTTAGGAACAGAATCAAAGAGGCAAACTTCAAGACCCAATCTTCTCCTCTCTAATCCAGGTATAAGAAGAGTTTGCTGTGTTTTTCATTGAGTGTGATGGTTAATATTGGCTGTGAAATTGACACCTGAGAAGAGAAACCTCAGTTGAGCGATTTCCTGCTTCATGTTGGACCATGGGCACATCTCTGCAGCATTTTCTCCATTGCTAGTTATGGGGAGTGTGGCCCGCTGTGGGCAATGCTACTCTAGGCAGGTGGGTCAGGACTGAATAATAAAAATAAAATAAAAATAAAAATAAAAATAAAAATAAAAATGAAAATAAAAATAAAAGGAACTCAACCCAAGTATGGTGGTACATGTCTTTAACCCCAGCATTTCAGAGACAGGCAAGTGGGTCTCTCTGAGTTCCAGGCCATCCAGAAGTACATATGGAGAACCTGTCTTGAATAAAAAAATTCTACTTACTTTCAGTTTAGTTAACTATTCTTACTTTTACCATCACCTGAGCCTATTGATGTTTGCTTTCAACAGCAATCTCTAAGTACTGTCAACAGAGTGTCAATGGAAGTAGGAAAGGCAGTGAGGACTTTTAACAAATCACTTTACTCTCATTTGGTGGAAGGTTAAACAGATCAATAAGGCTGCACAGATGCCTTGAGAAGACTGGAATGGATACTGTGAGATATTTGTTCTTGAATATAATGGTGTGTTAAAAGAATGTGAAAGTCAACAGACTTGTAGAAATGACCAAATTTTGAAAACCTTTTTGAATCACGTTAGGACTAAACCATGAATCTTTCCAATACCATGGTGTCAGATATGAAATTATTAGGGAGGTGAAATGTATTTGCATGGTGACTTCGGCCTGTGTGCTCTTTGTATATATTCTGGGAGGAATATATATTTATATGGCCAGACAGTTATATGGTTGTTAATGAGTAGCATGACACTATGGCTTTCATATCTCATCCTAAGTCAATCAAACATTAATCCACTTACCTTATTGTTTGTGAGAGAGAAGTCATTGCATATTTTTGAGTGTAGTTACAGTATTGACAACTATTTGTTCAGCAGCAATAGATTACTAATCAAATAATTGGTGTGATCTATTGGACTACTGTTAAATGAACACTTAAAATCAATAGTAATAACTGTGGGGTGAGATTCTAGCCAGCACATGAACTATTATAGGAAGTTGGAATGTCATCAAGATATGAATTAAGTGGCAGAGATGTCCAGAGATTCAGGGATCCTCTGGAAGGTAGAAGTTTACCCAGTGAAAATTTCAATACAGAATTCATAAAAGAAGCTGCATAGGATAGTAACATATCTTAGCTTTTGGCAAATACTCATTATTTTTTGTTAACATTGTAGAAAAGTGCTGTTATCTGCCAAATACTTATGGACTCATCCATGTGACATGCTTTGTGTAAATTATTATCAGTAGATGTTGTATAAGTGGAAAGCAGTAAATATAACATGAACCAATGAAAAAAAGACTAAGAAACCACGTTACACCATAAATTTAAAGTCATACTGAAGCAGTCTCACTTTGGTCTGTTAAATTATAGCCAATTTACATACATATGACTAAGTAATGCATTCTTATCATTGCATCAAGTGAATGTTAGCCAGCTTTATAAATTGACAACTAAGAAACACTCTGAAGGATTTTACTGAGACATGCCAGACACAGAACTCTGCCTCTGTCTTAAGTCATCATCACCATTACTCCTGGTCACTCTGATCAATCCCTCCCGATTCCTAAT